TGATGGTCAGTCCAGGTGGTTTATTGTTCACAGCAGTTTCTTCGTTCTGATGTACAATTTAAATTAGTCAGGAACATCTTATCCTGAAAAGGGCTGCAGGGTGGCGCAGTGGTTAGCACTGTTGCCTTGCAGCAAGAAGGTTGATGGTTCGCGTCCCGATGGAGGCACCGGAATTTTTTTGTGTGGAGTTTGCATGTTCTCCCCGTGCAGCGTGGGTTCTCTCTGGGTGTTCTGGCTTCCTCCCACACAGTCCAAAAACATGTTGAGGTTAATTGGTGATTCTAAATTGTCTGTAAATGTGAATGTGAGTGTGCTTGGTTGTCTGTCTCTAAGTGTAGCCCTGCAATAAACTGGCAACCTGTCCAGGGTGTCTCCTGCCAAAGTTACTGACACCTCATGCACACATGAGGTGTCAGTAACTTTGTATTCATCATTTTACAATTATTCGCACTAAACTTTGGTTTTGTAATAAATCTAAATCTCTGGTATCTTTTATGGCATATACCTTTAAACACTCATTTTCCTTCCGTAACCTGTTTTTTTCTGTGTGTTTTATTTTGTGTACTTTGAGAGCATAATACACACTAGAGTCAGAATTCTCCAATATGTTCACATAGTTGGCCATGAAAGCCAATTTTGAGTCTTCGGATTACATAAACATTTTACAAATTTGTTTCAAGAATGGCCTTAAAAATCATTGTTAATGTGGGACCCACAGTAATGTTGCATATTAACGAAGACTGGACATTCTCATGTATTATTTGGTCATTTTATTGTTATTGGTTTCTTCATACATGTGAGATGCTCATTTCATTGGCATCTGTAATTTTTAGTAGGTTCATTTGTGACTACAATGACTGAAGCTCACAGGCACTTTGGGCAGCTCGGGGTTCTGTGGGGGAGACACAGTGGGACGTATGTGTCATTCACCTCACAGTTTACAGCGTGCAGCTGCAGCAATGCGCTTGTGTTTCTGTATTTTCAGAACAAAGAAAAAAAAAAAGGCAAAGTAGAAAAACAGTTTTCAACGTATGCACACCTGGAAGTCCCTTTGTGCTCAAAGTGTGTTCCTTTGTGTACATTTAGATGGAAACACCATTTGTACAAAGCACGCAAAGCATTGCAGGACACCCCAATGCTAGAACCAGTAGTAATAACATGGCAGTTGCTATGTCCAGTTATGGTTACAGTGACATGTTCTGATGATTATTTTCATCTGCAGTTTCTAGTTCTCTGTTGTGGATTAGCAGCTTTTTTATAATTAAATTTTTTATAGATATAATGGAGCATATTTGAATCTTGAGGGGATGTGACTGTGACTCTTTGACTGCCTTTGGGTGGAGCCCCTGTTGCTAGGCAACATCATCAAATTCAAATGACATCACAGATTGAAGACAACATTCTAGAATGAATCACTGTCAGTTTGTCTGCAGACGTCAGACACGTGGGCTTGTTGTTTTCTAGAGTTGGTCTTGAGGTCTTTTGTAAATAAATTAGACAACTTTCATTTCAACATTTTGCTTTAAGTATTCTATGAAAAGTGTTTCCAAAATTCTTCAGAGCCTCAATTCAAGTGTCTTCCATCCATTCTGGAAGGATGGACAGGAAGCAATCTGCTGTCAAACTCCTTTGTTGCTAGAACAGTTAATCCATCCATCCATTATCTATACACCGCTTAATCCTCACTAGGGTCACGGGGGGCTGGAACCCATCCCAGCTGACTCAGGGTGAAGGCAGGGGAGACCTGGACAGGTCACCAGTCTATCACAGGGCTACACTTAGAGACAGACAACCAAGCACACTCACATTCACACCTACAGACAATTTGGAATCACCATGTTTTGGGACTTTGGGAGGCAGCCGGAGAATCTGGAGAGAAGCCACACTGCACAGGGAGAACATGCAAACTCCGGCTTCTCTCAGGTCGTTCAGCTGAGTGTCGGGATCCTGTGGGTTCTCATCCCACACCTCGACAGCTGGTCTTTGCTGAGGACAAGACTGGTCAACTGTTTGTTCAGTTGGCTGGTTTGTTTCAAAGATTGTTTCAGACATATCAGCTGAACAAAGATCTTTGTACTAACAATTCTGAAGGTAAAACTAAAACTGCAGCGCTTGTAGTTTTAACATCATCATGTAATGTCATCAAACAACATCAAAGTAACTTCTGTGTGTGTGTGTGTATGTGTGTGTGTGTGTGTGTGTGTGTGTGTGTGTATGGGTGTGTGTGTGTCTACTCACAATAGCTGCAGAGAAAACAATCCCTCAAACAGCCCTTTGGAAATCTCAGTGATCTTGTTCCCATATAGTACCCTGCAGAGACCAAACACTACATTAATAAGTTATGAGAAAGACCACACATACAGTATTATCCAGTCACACTATTAATATTAACACTCGAACCTATTCTCACTTCCTATTGTTTGTCTTTATTTTAAAAAAATGTTCTTGGCGATATTATCCAAATTCTAAGCAAAATTAATTAAATGGAAAAGTATGACTACCTTTGGTGTAACCGTTTTAAGTATGATTTGATAACTTGGTAGTGCACCTCCCATGACTCTTTGACAGCATGCCAGGGACAAATGCTACATCACTTATTGTAACAAACAGAAATTTTAAGCCGCATTTAAAAAAAAAAGTTGTCATAATTCAAAGCCATAGATTTGGGAATGTCTGACAGGTACAATACCTCTTATTTTAGGTATTGTCTAATTAAAATCAATTTTAATACAAATAGTGTAACAACTGAGTCAGCTATGAGTTAAACACTATTTGCTTTGTTCTGGTATCTGGACTCGTTAACGAGCCACATTAGTATTTGCTTCATGTATGTGTATCACATAAACACAAGAGTGGAAGACGTATGAAAACAATTTTCTCTGAGTAGTGCTACTCCAATATGAGAATACGAAGCTATGGAAAATTCTTGCATTCAAAATGTTACCATAGTAAAAGAACAAAATTTGCTTAAAGTATAAAATGTAAAAGTAATTGTTATGCACGATGGCCCTTAAATTGTTTTTTAAATTCATCATATTCATTTTATATAAAGGTTTCTGGAAAGTAACTACAACTGAAAGTATATGTAGGGGAGTGGAAGTTTTAGGAAGCATAAAATAGAAATATTTGACTTAGGTAAATCTAGTACTTGAGTATGTGTACTTATTTTGTACCACTAAATGCAAAAATATTTAACTCAACAAAACAGAAAACTTAGGTGTTTCCTTGTGTGCTTAACAATGGGGCCCAATTCTAGAACACAGCTTCAGTGCTCCAAAACCACAGTGAGAGCTTTTCCAGTTCTGATGACTTTACATAAACGCAGCATAAAACCAAAGGGGCTGGACTGTTGCTCTTTACTGAGGAAAACAGAAACATCCAGAGATTTAAAAAACAAACAAACAAAAAAAAAAAACAGTAAGAAAATGAGAAGACCTTTTCAAAGAATGATAAGACACTCTTCTTTTTTACTGTTTTGGCTTCGAAGTTAGAGCCAATAAAATGCTACCAGTAAAAACACGGACCGCAACTTCGTGCCTGGCTGTCTGTCGACACTGAACTTAAAGTATAGCTAGTCATGATCGCTTTTCATTTAAATGTAACAATGAAAAAACATAACGTCCATAAATCTGACTGCGGCTGCCGTGTGAGGAATGTGCGCCGTTATCAGAGGCAAGCTTTTTATAAATCCATCAGATTACATACACAAACAGCTCAAGGCTGAGACTGCCACTGCCTTGCCCAACAAATACCTTAGATACACACACACACGGGAGTTATCAGTCATCTTTATGCTCCACGCTGAGTTAAGTTGTGTATGTAGGCAGTTTAGAGACATGTGTTTTAGATTGGTTTTTATTTCATTGTGCTGAGTGGCTGTCCCTAAGAGACCTGAGGTTGGGAAACACACGGTTTGGGGAGTAGACGCTTCATTTATGTCTCACAGACACATTAGCATGTACTGTTCTGTTGCATTCACACACGTGCATGTGCAGACACACGTACAGACACAATTGATGGTTCATTTACATCCTCTCTAACCAAACACTGACACACAATGAACACACAGTGCAGCTTAATGTGAACGCCATACTGTATGTGGTGTGTCAGCGTGAATCTGTGTGTCCCATTCTCTCTGTGGTGAATGTGTAATGAGGTGGCAGAAGCCTCCATTCAGCAATTCAGCATTTATGAATTATTGACTTTGGAGAGACGAGACCTTAATATAACTCCTTCATGAAATGACTCTACATCCCTCACTCCCTCTTCAGCTCCTCTCTCTATCTTCCTTCCAAAAGCTTCACACGCAAAGCAGATGGTTCGACCTGAGATTCAGGCCGGAGAGGAAGCCAGCAAGACCACTGGTTCTGTTAAAAGTGTGCAGAATGTCTTATAAAATTGAACTTTTGTTATATATTAGATTGCTCTGGTGTTTGACACACTTACAGGATAATTATAGTATTCTCAAATACATAGATTTGAATGTTATTTTTGTCCTTATTCCGAAAATTAATAGTACAGCAGGGCAAGAAAGGTGAGCTGTTAGATTATATGACTTATGGAAAAGAAAATGAGGGCAAAATCGTTATTAAAACTGACCCTTTGCTAAGGGTTTTTTTTTTTGTAAAATGTGAAAAGGGTTTGCAGATGAGCCCAAATGTTGAGATTGCCATTTTGGGCATATACAGTATTTAAAACTCCTTAAACTCATTAGTAGAGTAGAGTCCTGAGGCATCCAGTTTGGCACTTAAGACTGGACATGACTTCAGTTCAATTCAGTTGAATTTTATTTTCATCATGCCAATTTACAACATATGTCATTTCAAGGCACTTCACTTAGCAAGGTAAAAATCTTACAAATTTTACACATTTTCTGTTTTTTATTTATTTATTTATTTTTAAAAAATATTTTCATTACTATTTTTCTATCATGACCATATTTGGACAAGAGACAGTACATGCAGTAGTGACTTGTTAATCACAAGGGAGCCATGTCCTACTGTTACCATGCTTCATCCTCTATTTTACTTTAATTTTGATTAGAATTAACAAAATACGCTTAACCCTGTATTGTGGAAGAACTGAAACTAGTAATTGAAACCATAAACTAATTAGGAAAATGTTTACTGAGGTAATACATCAAGTATAAGTCGTGTAATTTACCCATTGATTTCCATACAATCTGGCTTCTTATTACAGCCAGAGGAATCCCCACCTGCTGGCCATTTTTTTTCAAGTTCACCTTTAAAATACAATCTATGGTTTTAGCATTCAGGCAGACACATTTTTAATACATTCCTCACAATGTTATTCTTAGTTTTGGAAATAAAAAATGAAAAGAAATCTCTAAAAACTCTATCAAAAAAATTCAAAACTCAACAAATGTGTCTAGTTATGATAGCTAACTTTTTAGCGGACAGTCACGGTGATGTTGAGTTTTGTTTTGTCTTCCAAGTAGAGATTTAGCTGATGTAACCATGTCGAGCTCCCAGATCTAAGAAACTATATTGGCGTGTATAATGTAAACTTAACATACCGAACTACAAAAAAAAAAGAAAAAGTTAAGATGAACAGCCTCTCCAAAGGTGGCCTAAACGGATTTGAAACAGTTCTGTGTTGGATATTCCTCATGAGATCCAAAGCAGTGCGTTGCAGTGTTTTGTATAAACCACATCTTAACTACAAGCACATCACAATACTCACAGAGAGTTGAGGGAGCGCAGACCTTGGAAGGCGTCCGAGGCCAACTCTGATATCTGGTTGTTACTCAAGTCTCTGTGAAAAAAAAAAAAAAAAACGTGCAAAAGAGAAAGAAAACAAGAAAAACATAAAACCAGAGACAGAGTCAGTGAGGAGGAGAGACACGGAGAAAGTGAAGTAAGGAGGTCAACAGAAGCCACAAAGGCGGGCAGCAACAGAAGTTTTTGTGGATGGTTGACAGGGTGCAGAATACATGTATCTCTTCATCTACTCACATCCTGCGCAGCTTCTTATAAGGAGAAAAGGCCCCAGCTGGGATCACCTTGATGGCGTTCTGCTCCAGTCGTCTGGAACCAAACATACACACAGACCATTGAGGAGCGACATTAACATTCCCCTATCACGGATCTATCCCGGCAGCATTGTTGACTGCTGCTCATTCCTGGGGGCTTTGGCTAACGGGGAACATTTCCAGATAAGGCGCTTTGATGACCGTTGCCAAGGTCTTTCACATTTCTCTGATCTTTTGCCCTCTTTAACATGTGTACAGTCAGACGGACACACAAACACACACCCTTAACTATCTGGGCAATGTTCCATTAAGTGCCAGTCTGAGCCTGCGTCTATCAGGCCCAAACAAATCAAGCCAGTGAACCAGGAGTGTGAAAGAGAGAAAACAGACCCAAGCAAGCATTTTCCAAACATTTCACATGTTCAGTCAGTAAGACAAGAAAGGCGGCGAACTGCAAACCAACCGTTCAATAGTGATTTTTTTTTTTTTCTTCTTTTCTGTTCGGCTCCACTTCAGTCTTTCCTGGTCCTTTCACTACTAACATTTTTGACAGGTTGCATATAAGCCTGTTCTAGATTATTATATCTATTGTGGGTTCAAGTGTAGTCAGTTTTAAACCCAACAACACTTGTACATTTCAAGTGTAAAATCAATCAAGACAAGTCTTAAGTCCTCCTAAAGTCTAAAATCAACAGCGCAAGTCTTAAAGTTTTGTCAATGCAGGTCTCAAGATAAGTTTAAAGCCCACTGAAGCAGCTCAAAGTCATGCCTAAAGTCTTGTTATAGCAGGAATCAAGTCTTGTTTAAAACTATTCAAGGGAAGACCAAGGTAAGTCTCAAAGTCTTCTTGAATCAAGTATTAATTTGGGTGTCAAGGCATTCATTTGGTGGCGCGTATGGACGCAGCAACCCTTTCAGGAGACAGCAACAGTGAACGTTTAGTGTCTTATCCCAGACGTCCTGAAGAAACGCTCTCTCATCTTGCCTGTACTACTGCGTATGTACAGCAAAATGACAATAAACTTGATTTGATTTGATTTATGATGAGTCTAAGTCAAGTTAAAACGATAAAGACAAGTGTAAGTCAAAGCTCAATCTTGTAAAAGCATGTCTCAAATCAAGGAATCAAGTGTCAAATAATTCAAGACAAGTCCAGGTCAAATTTTACTTCTAGTCAAAGCAGGTTTAAAGTCAATTGGAAGTCCTAAGTCATCCTCAAAAAAAACAAGAACTCAAATCAGCTCTCTTGAAGTCAAACAAGTCAAGTCCAAATTAAGCCAAAAGAAATCCTTTCCTTTAAGACGACACAGTGCAGCACAGAGTTTAAAATAGAAAACAAAGAAAAAAAAAAGTTCTTTTCAATGGTTACACCTTAGTGATTGAACGTAGAAGACCTTTTATGGGATTTTAAAGGACTTGCACTTAACGTTTTTGGTAAGTCAAGTCTTTTGCAAGTCAAACCACAGAGTAGTCTAGTCCAAGACGCAGCTCAAATTCTTTCTGAGACTTGACTCTGACTCAAGTCCCAGTCACACATCTTAAGTCAAACAGCTCCTACTTTGCCACTCAAAATCTGCTGCCTTTCCTTCCTCTTTTCTTGATGCCCACTTTTACATAGCGATGTGATCTGTCTTGTCCCTCAGAATAATCTTTCAATTCTTCCTCCCTCTTTCCTTCATTATTTTCTTAAGCAGGGAAGAGCTGCATGACCAAGCTTTCTCATTTCACAGATGTGTGGTTTTATTTCACTACACAGAGAGAAAGAGAAGTGCTGAAACAGAAAGGTGGAAAGAGACAAAGAAGGGAAAATGGAGAGACGCACAATGAAAGAGCAGGAGAAATATCACTGCACCTCGTGTGAATGCAGGAGTTGGTGTGTGATTTGCAGTGTGAAGCAACTGTGTGTGCACTTGTACTGTATGTAGATGTCTTACATCTCAGTAATGGTTTCGGGCAGGTTGGTGGGTATTTCTGTCAGACCCTTCCCTCTGCAGTCCACGATGTTGTTACTGCAGGTGCAGGACTCTGGGCACTGTAACACACTGCAGGAGGAAGATGATGACGACTGGTGACCTACGCAGAGACAGAGGGCCAATATTATCCATGGATAATAGATTATGCTCGTGCAAATCCCAAAGGCAGAGCATGTTGAAGCTCACACAGTTCAGTGAAGAAAAACAGCAGCCAGTGTATAGCAAGTGTGAAGGTAAGATACTGTCCTTAAATGTAACCTTGTCTCCTTACAATATTAATTTTCATCTGATGTTATCAATACATTATTTCAGTAAGCGCAGCACGTGGGGTAAAAGCCAAGCCATGCAATGGAAGCTGAGTATTTACCTTCGTCCCAGTCTTGAAGAGCATGAGCAAAGACAGTGAGAAGAAGCAAAAGCAAAAAGACGGGTTTGCGACTGTAAACGGCAAGCGGACGTAAGTCACAAAACAGACAGCAAGCAGGCAGTAAAGTCGACCTACCTGTGCATACAAACTCCTTCTTCTGCACCTCAGCCACGTTGTGCCCCCTCAAGTGCGGAGGGGCCATGCATTGTGTGTAAAGACCCAGGCGAGGGCGCTGTCGCAGCCACTCCGACAGCCAGGCTACGTGGCAGTCACACTGCAGGTTGTTGGAGTGCAAGCGACTGTAGGGGGGAAGGAGAGGGGGAGGATGGAGGAGTATTTGGCAGACAAGTGGTGAGAACAGGTGGGGGGAAAGAGAGGAGAGAGATAAAAGATTTGATGACGGGGGAGACAGGAGTAGGACAGGTGGAGGGGAGAGAGTTACAAGTACGGATCAATCAATTATTTGTACAAACGGCCGTGGATGAAAGGAATCCTGCCCCTCGGGGTGCTAATGTGAATCAAATGTGCCACTTACAAGGTCCTGAGCTTTGGCATGTGGTTGAAACTGGCCACAGACAGTCGGCTGATGTTGTTATTGTTGAGGGTGCTGAGGAGAAAAGAGTACAATACCCAATAAATATACATGCGTATCATTTTACTGCGCTGCTTTTTGCAATCACAGGATGGTGGTACACTCGGAGGGACTTTAAGTGTTGTGCGATCAGTGTAAATACTGACAACAACACTGTCTTTCACATTCTTGTTAACTGCAGTTTGGCTGCTTGCTAACAATCTCCCTCATCAAATATCATATTTAATTAAAACCAACTGAGCCTACTGTTTTGTTTTGTTTTTTAGATCTGGCTTGTTGCACAAAATATATATTAGCCATATTAGGCAGAGCCTCACCTGACATCACGGAAAGAAAAAATATATATTGATAAAATAATTTCAATAGTTATATTTATCCAGTGATTTGTACTATAAAATATTTAATTTTTCATTTAGCCTAATCAGTTTTGATGATTTTTAAATTCAAAATCGCTGAATTTTCGCAATTTCCCATTCAAATGCTTGGAAGAAAAGCCAGTGAGGCAGCGGCGAATTGAGCCTCACCTTGAATTGTGCAATCCCTCACTGCGCTGCCATGCGTAGACTGTCACTGCATGGCAGCCTGTGCAGTGAGGGGTTGCACAATCCAAGTGAGGCAGCAGCGAGCTCAGCCTCACTTGGGAAAACATTGCTGCTGGCTGTCATGCTCATTTTGCACTTTAGTATATAGCCTGCTGCTGTTGTTTGCAAAGTAATTTTGCTTCCTTATAGTTTACAAAGGGCATTCTTGAAGTTTATTTTATGTTCACTGGTTTTATTTACCTAAACATGTCAAATTGGTTAAAGCGGATATAATTGTTCTTGCACTTTAGTGTGTGTGATGTTTCTGACTGGATCAGTAAGCTTTATATTTTTACTTTAATTATATGTGTATATTTATTGTGTTTATTTTTTTTTTTTATAGAATGTCCTGTTCGGCAAAGACAGTGTTTAAGAAGAGCAGTCAACATGTTTACATACATTTTCATCAAAGTTGAAAAGTTAGTCAAGTTTAAGGAAAAAAGCCACAGATTTGTTTTATTTATTGTTGTAATCTGGCTTTGAAATAAATCTGATATAGTTTATTTAGCAACATATGGATTTATTTCTTGTTTTTGTCATAAAATACACATGGAGAGAGCCTAGAAAAAATAATCGCATATCAAATCGCATTCGCAATAATGAGGGAAAAAAATCCCAATTAGATTTTTTTCAAAAATCGTTCAGCCCTATCAAAAACCTGCCAGAAGGTTTGAAAGGCAAACCTACAAAGGCAAGTCGTCTTTGAAAAAAATTGCTAAAACTACACCATTTAGCAGAGCTAGAAAATGCAAACACAGAAAGAATCAATCTGTGAGCTACTCATCTGTGTCGTGTCATTCTGTTGGGAAATTTAACCAAGTCCAAGCTAACAGTCATGACAGTTCATCAAAATTACTCCATTTTGCAAGATTCTACAAGATATTGCAAAAAAGAAAATAACTCCGTACTTTTCAGCATATCCATGTAACAGCTAATGATTCAGCTGTGACCAGCAGTCTCAAGGCAAAAATTTGGAAACTTTTCTTCCTAACTAGGCTGAACTGCAGGCTGTGTTTACACAGAGCAGATAGGAGACGAGTATAGAAGCATGTTGAAAATATAAGTCACAAAATATCTATAGCATGCAGAGCCAAATATACACACACATAGTCCAATAAATTAAATGTCCTATCGCACAAAAGACATTTTAGAGTTTTCTCTACTTCTAGCCATGGTTGTGCTGCTTCCATGGAGGTGCAGGACTTTTTATTGCAGTAAAAATGAGCCCACAGTTAATAAAAATGCCCCCAAAATGCTCAGGGTTCAGAGGGCAATATACACCACTATGATAGCACTTCACATTTGCCTCACAGTTCCAATATTTGTCATTGAAAACCATCAACAAGTCATGTCAATCGAGCACGAATGACTTTAGGACAGGAATAGGTTCGTTTCAATGGCCCTAATGACACGGTAAGCTAAGGAATAAATAACGATAATGAATACGATGACAGCAATACCGCAGAACCAAGCATTAGTGCCACTCCTGAATATATATAGAAAAGCGTCCTTTTCTTCAGGAGCTGCACAGGCACCGCAGCCTTTAAAAGGTCAACGAGGATATTAGCTGTTCTATATCCCGCTGCTGTTCATCATCCACCAAACCTCTGCTGCTGTTAGCGGGGTGACTGAATAAACAGGTACTCACAGCACTTCCAGGTCACGTAACGCTCTGAAAGCTCCATCCTCGATGCAGCTGATGTGGTTGTAGTCCAACTGGCTGCATGCACACGCATATACATAAAAGGATGACAGAAAAAAAACAAGGTGTAAGGTGTCTCGCAGTATACGTTCAGGTGAAATTCAAGCCAGACAGCCAGGTACAGATGAAAATGCATCAGCTCCCCCGATCAACTGATCAACAACCTTTCCTCCGTCTCCATCATGCTCACTCACTTTCTCTTTTGGTTTTGTCTCTGAGGTTCTTTGTAGTTGCATTTCTAAATGTATTTATCTCTGTATCTATTCCTGCTTCCTGCTCTCTTCTATCTGACGTCTAATTTGTATGCGCTGCTCTTTACCTCTTTTCCTCATCCCTCTTCCTCTCTCTCCCCTACTCTTTCTCAGAATCGCTTTGCTGAAACAATTTAATTAAGACATAAGGACAGTAAATCATGTGCTGTCACCCGCATTCTAATGCGCACACACACACACACACACACACACACACACACACACACACACACACATACACACACACGCAGACACACATGCACACACACACAAAATGGCCTGTCCTTTTACAATAATTGCAAAGCATTTTAAAAAAAATTATCTGATGTGGAAAAAAAAACCCAGGAAGCACTGAAATAGCTGAAAAATCCATATTTGTAAAATTACTGATGGGCAATTACTTTACCTGTGAAATGACCAACAATTATCATAAGTATGAGTGAGGCAAAACAAAGAGCGAAAACAGCAAAATGCCAGGATACACACACTCACACGCACACACACACACAGCTGCTAATGAGCAGTGGTGCCAGTCAATACAGCAAGCAGGAGGCACATGACATTTAACACAATGAAATATTGATGCACAGGCACAAGGGTGTAGTGCACATTTGCCAACATGTTGAAAAGCAAGTGACAGATGCGCACGCATACACACACAAATGCATGCACACACACAACGCACACATATGCAGAGAAAGTATTGCTAAACTTACAGGTTCTTGATTTCCACAGCTCCCCTGAAGGCTTTCCTTGGAACTCCTTGAATCTGGTTCTCACTGAGGTCACTGGACAGAGGGAAAGATGTGGAGAAGAAGGGAAGGCAGAGAAACAAGGTGGCAGAGAGTTAAACAGAGCTGTCACAGAGACACTTGCTTTGCAGCACAAGTACTTGATGTAATCACCAAAATGCAGCGGGGGGACTTCAGAGCCAGACACATCATCTGCAAAATTGAGTTCCTTGCACACAGAGCACTCCTTCACCAAATATAATCAGCTGTCTCTGTTCATCTCTCAGTGACAAAAAAAGACTTCCCCTGACAAGAGTCCGTGCATCCTGGAGCAAGATGCAATTCAATTGTCTGCTTTGAACATCCATACGAGTCAAGTAGAGGAGGCTTTACATGCAACCTGTAGGGGGCACTAGTGTCCTCCTCTTCCCTCCAAGTTTTCAGTTCCTCCTCTCATCACTCCCACTCATCTCTCCCTCGCCCCCGCCACCCCTTCCTCCTTCTGCTTTTAAGGACTGACTGATGGATGTGTATGTGTGTGTGAGTGTGAGCATTGGGGTTTACAGAGACTTTAATTTTCAGCCACTTTAACTAAGCTGCAGCTTGGAAAAAAAAAAAAAAGCGTACTACAGGCAGTGACACATACATGCAGCATGTGTGCTAATACATGCTCCTGCACACACACACACACACACACACACTCATAGGAGTATAAATACACTCAAACATATGAACAGGTGTCGCACAGACTAAATCTAATGTACTGCCTGCCGCCAAGGGAAATACATCCAACCACTGGTTGGTATAGCAACTTGGTCTAGTGAAGGACAAACACACATAGGTGCTGAAGAATGTACACACAAATAGTTATGTGAACACGGGTGTTAATCACGCATATGCACATGAACAAATATAAATAAATGAGGCAAAGCGAAGGTATGAGCATGAAATCAGCTGTCTAGACTGTAGTATAATATAGTGTGTCAAATGAAAGGTGCTAAAAATCAAACTACATCGTATTTTGAAAAACAACTACTCAGCAGTGAGCGTCTGTGTGTCAGTCTGCAGACAGACCATCTGACCTTTAACCACTGAACCTCCAGCTTTCCACCCCGACTGTGACCTCCACCATGCTAATCGGCTAACAGCTAATGCCCATCCACATTCCTCTCATTCCTGCAGTTGTGATCGTATAATCAGCACTGCAGGTATCATCCATCTCCCGTGTCTCCACCTGCTGCTTCGAAACCTGCATCCAAAGCGGTAATTTGTTGCAAAGAACGAAGAAAAAAATTAAATGGGAAGGTGTTTCAAAGACTGCAAACCTTGAGTTGTCTTTTGTGGCCTTATTGCGCAGCTGAAATTACAAAACTAAGTGCATCTTTGGCCTCCAAGTCTGTGGGAGGGTTGGCTGCTGTGGGTTTTTGATCGACAGCTGAGACAGCAGGGGCACAAAGACGCAATGTAAACAACTTTCTCTGGTAACTGTAGCTCACTGCCAAAGGGACATATGTTAGGTATTGAAGAAAAAGTAATCCATTGTTCAGAATCCACACTGACTGATCCCGGCATTGACGGGTAAATATTTGGAAGATGTTCACAGTGTTACAGATATGAGAAATTCAACATCAAGAATAAAAATGATACAAGTGAGTGCACTTATAGGCAGTAGGAGGCTGTTTCCTCGCAGGCCAAGTTGTATTAGAGCTTGTGTCTGTGCCTGTCGGTAGACAGGAGACGTTATGGTTAGAAAACTTATTGCAGTTCACATTGTGTTTTTTTTGCATATATGGCTTCAGTCTGATTGCACCATGATAGTTAGTGCTTTGTGCAAACACAGTTTAAGATAGATGGTGGTGCTGAAAAGATTAATTGCAGGTCAATCAATTGAAAGTTAGCACAATATCTATAAATGCTTCATTTTCTAAGTAGTAACAACATCAACAGTCTGCAGGTTTTAGTTAATTATTTTAAGCTTTTGCTTTTCTCTCTTCTTGGGGTAGGATCAGTCATTGTAAGTCAGTGTAAAATGTAAATCTTTGGATGTTAGACTAAAACAAGCAACTCAGAAAATTGTCACAAGCAAAAGCAATTATTAGTCGCATCCCCAGCAAGATGTGTTTACATGCAGAGTCCTCCCTCTGCATCTGCTTTATGCACAGAATTCAAAAACCCAACAAAAGCATTATATAGTATATTCATTTCATCATACTTGACTTTCACTTGCACTTGACTTAATCACATACATGCTAACTGACACATGTATGTCTTAAGTGCTCTCTGATGTCGAGATCAATAGACATGATCCCACAGTAAGACTTTCCAAACAAAGGTGGATAAAACAAAAGTTTCACCTTTGCTGTGTTACACACACAAACATGGACACCCACACACACACACACACACACACACACACACACGCACGTGCATGCAGAAACACATACACACACACACACACACATACACATGCTCTCACAGTGGCTGGTCTGAATCAAATAGAGTGTATCCTGATACTGTTTTTACAGGACCAGGGGGGTTTGGAAAACAGCCGTACTCCTTTAACCGCTGGAACTCTAAAACCAAATAAACACTTAGGAAATGCTCCTTAAGCCTACACACACACACACACACACACACACACACACACACACACACACACACACACAATACTGTTGGTCTCTGTTTGTGTGTCTCACATNACACACACACACACACACACACACACACACACACACACACACACACACACACACACAGCAGTGCATACACCTTACAGTATTTATCGGATGTAAAAATCAGTAAGAACTTGTTAATGTCCTATATGTGAGGAGCTGACAGTTTGACAGTTTATGTTTCTGTTTTAGGCTGCACACAAACCTCACTGTAAACGACTGTGTTTACACACACACTTAATGTGTTCTCCTGGGAACCTGCAGCGCACTGCTCTGTCAATTACAGTAATGTAGCCATAGTAAACACTGTAGGAGAGGAGAGAGGTGCAGTTGTGTTTAAGTGCACGTGCGTGTGTGCGTTTGACATACACATTCATCTCCCGAAGCACTGAGATGATTGAAAATTGATTTTTCACAATTTTTCTGTCCTTGTGATCTATAGCAACAGAAAGACAGCATACACACACACACACCAGCACACACACTCATGTGCACAGACATAGTACATGATACACATGTGATTGGCAGTTTGGGTGAGTGTGGGGCTCTTAAGGAAGTGCAGAAGGCCACTCTAAACCCTATTCATCACTCAGACCACCAGAGAGAGAGAGAGTGAATAGCAAGTTTTAGCCCGACTAGGAAATTGACTTCTTAGGGACTTAGGAGTGGATTTTCTTCCTCAGTTTGGCGCCAAGGCACCTGATTCAGTTTCATCTTCAGTTAAACCATTTGCTGAATGTTCTGTCCAGCACTTTCTCTCTGTTTTCTTCCTTCGCTTCCTCTCTTTTAACATCTTCCTTTTCTCTCTGACGCTTTCCCTCTTCTCCTAAATTGGTCTTGTTGTTAGACTTCCCCGAGATTTAACCCCTCACCTCTGCCCCGGTGCCTAAACTGGGAGGTTACCTTCATTAAAAGAGGCTCCTGCCGAGCCCAGTGTGTGTGTGTTTGAAGGGGCCGGAGGTATTAGACCCACACAGGAACTATATCATGCTGCTAAGTTGGGATGGGAGCCTTTTGAAAGCAGAGACACACACACATACACATTGTCTACGAACAGACACACAAACCCGCACACACACACGCCAAACCCAGACACTAAAAACTGACAGCTGACAGCTCGCATCCATGATGTGCAAAACAGACTTCCATAAACACACTGCGGATATGCCATGCGTGCTCCGTACTATCAATTCACAGGTGCAGCAACTAAAAATTTTCTGTCCCATTTCAGCTGAACTTTTCTCGCGTTGGCCTTTTTCTTTGACATCTACCCTAAGCAAGATAAATTTAAGAAAAAAAAATTCTCCCCTGTTCCTTTCCTCCATCCGCACTAAGCTGTTATTTTTCTCACTCAAAAAGTGAGCTGTTTGAGAATACTCTCCAGAGTAGATAAATCTGAAAAGGCTGGCTTCAGGTTTTGGAGTGGACAGGAACATTTGAGCTTTTTGAAAACAATGAAATATCCTGTGGTCAGAACTGTTAGCAGAAAGAAGTTAGGAAGCCAACTTTCTGTGGCCTCTAACCCTCCATCTGACAATAGACAGACAAATGTGCACATGACAGCGACTAAATGAGAGTTTGGCTGCTTTAAACACGGTTTAGGTGATGGAGCAAGAGGGGTCAATGCAGTGGTTTAACCAGCTGATGCTCTATAGAGGATAAAGGGTTTTTCTTCCTAGCACATGATGGCTGTGAAGCATAATTTTTTGTTTGTCAACCAAAAGAGACGGCACAAGAACAAGTTTAGCTGTTTTCATGTTGTTAGGGAGTTTCAATGTGGATGGATATTTTTACAAAATCACTTGAAAATGCCAGCACAAGCCGTCTTCACACACTGATATCCATTTGCAGATTTTAAATTTAGAGTTGTGCGCTTGTCGTCTCTTCTATATCTTCTATATCTTCCTCTTTGTCTGTTTTTCTCACCTCTGGTGGCCCAGGATGTGTGCATGTGTGTGTGTGCGTGTGTGTGCGCGGCAGAGTCAGGTCTCCAGTGTTAAGAGCTTAGTGCTGCTTTTCTAAAGGGTCTTTTCAGAGCAAGAGGGGCTTTTGACACCCTCCGTGTCTAAGAAGACCTGGGCATGAAAGAGCAGCACTCAATTCTCACACATGCACCCTCATCCTTTCCCCTCCTCCCCGTTCTCTCTCTCAGACACACACACAGACACACACTCTTACCTACTGTTGCACAGTTTCTGAATCTCTTTTGTCTGAGACCTACTGCCACAAGATTCTTCCCAGGTCCAGCAAACTGGGGGGTTCCCGTGGAAGTGTGTGCGCATATGTGTGGTAGAGTATGAGTCGGAGTTGGCAGAGCAGTAAACTAATCATCTTGTTCAAATCCCTTTCGGAGGCCTTAATCCTATTAAGTATAAGAAT